TCCTCAGACACCTGGTATCTGAGGTATCTGATAAGGCTGGCCTAAGTGATGCCTTCAACTTCTGTCTGCAGAGACTTCCAACTCTGTGCCCCAGAGGGCTGGTTCTTCTCATTCTCGTCATCAGTGGGCTGAAGAGTCCTCGGTAGTTTGAGCTCAGGGTTCCAGCTTTCTCCAGTCATTTGTCCTGAAATGTTCTGTCCACTGGCAACTGGACCTTCCAGAACAGCCTCCTCTGGAGCACTAACGTCCTTGTAAGTGGCTTCTGCCTCAGATATTTCAGGACCTAAGAGAAGACCCAGCCATTAATTGCACATGTAACCTTCTCCCAAAAAACTGTGAAACTGGATCACAGAAAAAAAAAGGGGTGGGTGTCTTCAGGACCACGCTAAAGGATGAGGAGTGGGTCCCCAAGCCATTTTAGTTAACACAGGTTCAGTTCTCCTATCCTCAGTCACCTACTAAAATTCCTCCACCCTAATAACTTACTTCCCATAGTGGTGAGGAAATTCAGGAAGTCCTTCAAATCATCCATCTTTAGTCTCCTTATGGAATCATAAAATTCACTGGGTAGGTATAAGGAACTAAAAGGATTTTTCTAAAAGGTTCTTGTCTTGGAGAAATTGGGACAGAGACCTACCTCCTAGGAATGAAGAGAAGTTACACACATTCTTTGCCCCCTGGAATGACCAGATGAAGCCAGAACCCACTTCTCTGTGTTCCCAGCAGTCAACTAAAGGCAGACTGCCTCCAAAGATGGCTGCCAACAGCTCCTCCCATCCCATATGAGCATGCAGTTTCTTCCATCAAGGGATGCAGTCTATTTCCACTCCTCTGAATTTGGGTTGGACCTCTGACTTAGAGAGGTCCAACCTCTGACTTCTTTGATCAATAAAAGGTAGCAGAAGTCACACTATTTTAGTTCTAGTCCCATCACCTACAAAAGTAATTTCTATGTTGTCAATAAGCTCAAACAACAATGGTAGAGCACTTGCCTAGCATGTGTGATTCTACCTCTGGAGCCTAAAAAAAAAAGAGGAAGGAGAGAAAAAATAGCAAATCACTTTGGCTTGTGCTTCAGGTTGGTTATACATAAACTGGGACCTTACACAGTTTGTTGGAAATTCACCTTTTTCAAAGTTGTTCCTTTTTTCTCCATCTACTGTTACTATTTCATGTCACTCTCCTGACCTAGCCAAGCTCTATGACCTATAGACCACCCAGTCAATTCAGTCTCCTTATCAGCATCTCATATATCATTGTTGGGCTTCTAATTGACCCATGGTCTATAAGTGACTCCCCATTCCAGATAAGGACAAACCCTGATGATTTCTCTAAACAAACATCTTCCAAGCTTCAATGAAAGAGTGTTAGGCTTTCTTTTTGGCATTGGCCATTTTCTAAATCTCCAATTTTTTAAATTAACATATAAAATTGTGCATGCTTATCATATGGTATTTAAATATGCATACATTATGTAAGGCCTTATGAATTCTATTTGTAATTATATTTAACTAGGGCTATAACTACATCTATTACAGAATTACAGAAAAATTGTGTTAAAAGACCCAGAATTCCTCCAAGAAACCTAAGAGGTACTTATCTACACACAATAGCAGCAAAGAAACAGTAACCCCACCTTTCACAGTTTATGAATACTCTTACTAGAACATGATTCACCTTCTTGGCCCACATTGACTTCTAACAAACAAAAACCAAAAAAATAATAAATAAAAATAAAAGTCTCTTGCTTTATGTTTCTTTGGCATTGGCC